ATTAGTAGTTGTTAGTAAGGAGTCGCGTGGGAAGAGGCAGGAATCAGTCTACCCACTTCTGCATCATAAGTCCCGCAAAACCCGGCTCGAAAATCTTGAACTGAGGCGGCATACAACGATGTACCTCATGGAGTCATGGAGAAGCTCTGTTGTCCACAACCCACCAAGCTGTGTGGTGAGAGTCATGGAGTTATCCGGGGCGGAAAACTTCCGCCAAGGTATCCAACGTGCGGCGGGCATGTTTGCCACCTCCGGCTCCCCCTCGGATCGCCGGGTTTCACTAAAGAGGAAGAGAAGCGAACTCTCCTCTCCATTGGGGTATGTCTTCGAAATCTTGATCCACTGGACCTCAGGCCATTTGGGTAGTCTGTATCCCAATCCCAACCATTTCTGGATATCTATTATAGTTTCGTCAATGTTTGGCTCAGCATCGCAAGGCACATGAGGTATGTAAAGCACATAATTCTCTTGTCGTGTCGTAAGCAAACTCAATTCCTCCTCATTCCATTTCAGATGTGCGAACATGTGTGGCGCTCTTCGCATCGGATTTTAATTTTGCATCTTATAATTTCCTATATTCTTGCTCTAATCTAGTGCTTACACAATTGTAAACTCAGCTTCTCAAATTTGCAAAATAAACTCACAATCTATCTTCTATTTTCTGATCAGCCAAATTCTCATCTACATGTCCACAGATACACATATCCTTGAATTTCGATTATAATTTCTAAAAGTCCCAAGTAAAGTATTCTCATCTATATGTACACACATACACACAAACATATATCTTCCATTCTGAATTGCCAGCATAATTCGTAGGGATCTGTTCTATAACTACGTAACCTTGAATTTCGACTATAATTTCTAAAAGTCTCAAGTAAAGTTCTATCATGATTTTCTAATCTTGGAACCCGAAAACTTCGGAATCTCTCCGATAATTAGTTTGTTGCTTCTTTTAAATTGGTGATACGTGCACATGGTGGGAGCTGCCAAAAGTTGACTCGCACAAGGGGCAGGGGAATAATTGTAATAGTTTACTGCTGCCCTACGCTTTCTTTTGTGGGTTGTTCTTAAAGATGTAGGGTGTTTTCGGGGGTTACTGCATACTTTTGAAGAGGCCCTGCTTTTCCAAATTGCGATCGGCATTTTGGTAAGTGTGTCATTAATAACTGTAGTCGGCTGGATCGGATCGTTCCCGGAGGGCTGAATGGTAAGAAGGGGGTGGGGGGGCCTCTATCTTGCAGGGGCATCACAAGGTGGGGGGTGAATGTCTCAAAGAGGGTAGGGGCGGAGTAGGGGGTTGCCCTATTCTGGGGCAGGGGCTGGTGTGTGGGTCAACATCAGTCCCAGCAGAGGCAGAAATGGGCAAGGGGGGGGGGGCGCATGCTTTAGGTGGGAACTGCGTGCTCCTGGGGAAAGTGGGGTAGAGTGTTGGTCCTATATTAGGGCCGAGGGAGAGCGGAAGACTCGTCTCGGCGGAAGCAGTGTAGGGCTGAGGGGGGAGGGGTAGGGGGAGGGAGGGGCGATCTCTCTCGAAGACTTATAACATCCAGTTTAGTATTTCTTTCCATTTGGTTCGCCTCTCGAGGAGGTTGTAGGAATAGGTGATATCTGGCAAGTCATCCTTGATCCTCCTGCGAAGGGTGGTCGAAAATTCGGTGGCCCTCGAAGACCGATGCTGGAGCAATGCTGGCCGGAGCCGGAGCCAGGTGGCGCAACTCTGTGACCTAGCTTAGTGGGGGCGTGAGGCTTGGTAGAGAGATCTGGGGGCCTGTTTGCGGGGGCAGTCTCAACGGTCATCGGGGGTCGTAATTGAAGCAATGTTGGCCGGTGCTGGAGCAAGGTGGTGCAACTCTGTAACCTAGCCTGATGGGAGCATGAGGCCTGGAAGAGCTTTGGTTCATGCTGAAAACAGCCATGCTGGTGGTGGTCGAAGGTGGATTGAATAGGTTTCACCTATCTGATTCGTGGTTGGGAGGCTTGTTGACACACATCTCTTGAATGTTTCTGAGTTTTTTTTTTCTTTTCTTCAATTAGCCGAAGCCGGGTAATGGCCCCGGTAGCTCATTTTTGTATTCTGATAAGGGGCGCTGGGCCCGGTTCCCAGCCATGTTGCTCCCCACAAATAGATTGGAGCATCGTCTCAGAAAAAAAAAAGAAAAAAAAAAAAGAATAAGTGGGAAGACCAGAAAAGGGGGCATGGTGTGCTCTTCATGATCGTCCAATCTCCTCCCAACTGGCATGATGCTGTTCTCGCGAGTCGTCACTTGTGTCTCCCCAAGCTCCGAGTCCAGGTTGCAAAGGCTGTACTGGTTCTGTCACATTTTCTCCTCCCACCCCTCCAGAGGAGCCCTACCCCCGTCCACCGCACCCCCCCCCCCCCCCCCCCCACTTCCCCCCCCAACACTCCCTCTATCCCCAATCCTACGATACGGGGAGTAGTTGTCTCCTCTGGCTGCACGAGATCCATCTGATCTGGATTTCGTCGATTTGTCCAGTTTCTTATCTCGTGCAAGCCGCATTTCAGTGTCTTTGAGGGGACCTTGTGAAGTCGATTCCTGTCCCAGCGTTCCCTCTGTAGCCTGACGGATGATCTCTGCCCATTGATCAGGCGGCACATTTTCCAAGCAACGACCCTTGACTGAAGGATGACCATACCACTTATGAATTGCACACCAAGGGGTGTCTTGAGTGACCACTTCAAGTTTCAGTAATCCCTCATTGCTATGATGCTGATCGTAGGTTCTATCTTCCCTGGAGCTGCCACTTCCAAATCGTATCGGCGATTTACCAGGCGTGGCTCGTTTTTGCGCTTCTCCAAAGGTTGAGCTCGAATGACACGTCCGTATTGAGATTCAATCGCCGCTTGCAGAGAGTTGAGGGCCAGATAAGGGACTTTAAGTACCCTGATCCATTATCTCCCCTCTTGCTCAGCCTTCCGATCCCGTTTCAACTCATTGGGGGTCAGCCATGGTCGAAATCTAACTTTGAACTCACCACCCTGCCGTTTGATTTTCCCTTCCCCCAGATCATTGACCAACCAATCTCGTAGCCGCGTGGTTGGGGCGATATATGATATCACCGATGCTCCTTCTAGTTTGACTCTGCCATTCAATCCCCCAGTCAACGACTCATCCCATTTGGATTCAGCCCGTCGAACCCAGTCTTCTTTCTCTTGGAATGTCATGTCCGGGCCGCATTCCACAAACAATACCATAACCCCGTGCGATTTGAGATAATCTATCTGGAGTTTTTCATATTTATTGTCCAGAATCCAGATGAATATCCAAAGTTTTTTGTTCTGGGTTGATTCCAGATCGGATGTATTTTCGAGCCAGATCCGGGTTTTCATCGCTGGTGAGGAAACAATTGGAGATCATGTCTTTCAATTGTTTTTCCTCAGTGGGCGAAATGGTCGTTTGTTGTGCTGCTGCCATGTCAGTGAGAGAGGATAGACTTTCGATCCCGAAACGATCGGTGAGTGGGTGGTTCTTCTCCCAATTATTCCAACCAATTATCCGTGAAGATGATGTAGAGAGTGAGAGGAAAAAGAGCGATGATACCAAAAAGAAACCTAACGTGGTTTGGAAAGAAAGTATCCAACGAGGCTGTTCCAAAGAGAAAAAGCTGAGGTTGCAAAAAGCATGCTAAGCAAGAAGAGAAAAACTGGCGATATGATGAAAGTCAAGGTTGACCAGTTCACACTAAGTCCAATTAAAAACAGCAGAAAACAGAGGACATAGCATGTACGAACTAAGCAATGAAGAATTCCCATTCAGGGAAAAAAAAAAAAAAAAAAACGCACACGATTAAGAGAAAAAAACTTAAAAAGGACTAAAAGTCAGAAATCACAACCCAACTCTCTATGTCTCCCGGAAAAGAAAACGCTGACCTGAAAAGCAAAACCTTATTCTCTCGGTCTCCTGAAAAAGGCACTGACAAAAAGCAAATAGAAGATCGCAATTCCAATTCTCTGCTCTCCCCCTTCCGATTTTCGCAATCGGAGACGGGGAAGAATGGGGCAAGATCGGGGAAAAAAGCAACAGGAGAAAAAAGTGCTCACGAATGGTTATCTATATTTGGTCAAAGTTCTGCAATTCCCATCTGTGTCCAGCACTCGAGTTTTCTCTGTCGTCCTCGTCTTTACTTCACCAGCTCAAGGTTTCTCTATCGTCGAACGGCACGAAAGCGGCCCGTAGGGCTCGCCACATCAGCTGCTGTGCGACGTCTTTATCTCGCTAGAGAAAAATCCCATAAGTCACAAAAGCAATTGCTCCACCGGTTCCGTATCTGGCGACCAAACGCGCAAAACGCGCCGATCGATTGATATATAGCGTATATGTGAGCATGCCGCCCCCGCTTCCAACGCGATTGGTTGGTGGCGTTAGACAGACTCCACAGCCAGAGTGAGGCTATGGCCGTCGCGGGTGGCAGGGCGACCTGGGTATGGCGGCCTCAGGTTGTACGACCTGCCTGGAGGTTTCTGACCACAGCGCTAGACCGCCGCGCAGCATGCTCTAAGCCTTCCAAAAAACCAATAAAAGTCCTTTTCTTCTTTTTTTTCCTTTCTTATTCTTCTGCGTGCCCGCCCTAGATGGCGTACTATTCTTTCGCCTTCTTTTGCCCATTCCAAACTCTGGCCGTGACCAAACTGCCAGTACGTGTTTTTTTTGCACATTTGAAACTAAGATTGTGACTCAGGAAAAAACAAAACCAAGTGACTCAGACGCAGTTGTTTCAAAAAAAAGAAAAGAAAGCTCGGCATCGTATCCCCCCTTTCTTTTTATATTTTGTTAAAAGAAAGGTAAGAAACGAAACAGCAAGCTCACAAATGGACAACCCACAGCCTTCGTTTATCTGACTTCATCATTTATGTTTTTTTTTTATCATTTTTCTCCTCAATTCCAATAATTTGTCCCTGGATTGCAGTAGTATTCTGATCTATGTTCATAACTTTGATGACTGTGTTGTTGGCACTTGTTGCTTGCTTGACCAATAAGGCAACGCCACTGTGCATAGCGTTTTCCTGCGACGACAGGTTTGTGGCTGCTGGCGATGAAGAAGGTCGGGTTTATGTGTGGGATATGCATTCGGACAGAAGGTTCGGCTTCACTTTCACATTTACTGAAATAGTAAAAAATCATTTAAAAATGCCATGGTGTTAGAAAGTTGTCACACTCCACAGATAACTGTTACAACCAAAAAAA